TTACAATAAATCAAGCTGTGTATTTCTTTTCCTGGTTCCCACTAACTATATTCAATTATTAATTAATGATGCAGTTTTTCCTTGCTTAGTATACACTGATAATAAAATAAGAATAAAGTTTCACTCAAGGCTTTAAAATGTTTCATAAGAAAATTTAAGCAGATTTAAGATTTAGGGTCACAATGTCACATTACATAAGTAACCAGTTACTTTCCTGGTAGCACAACACTGTGATCTGAAAACAGTCTAGTTTTCTGTTGACCCAGGTTCAGGTGTGTGCCTTGAAATAATTTGAACATGGCTGTGTCTTATTAACTTTTTTCCTATATTGCTGCTCAGCATTCTGAATTAGGTTTGTTGAAATAGAACATTTTCCCCACTCTAGGGCTGTCTTGTAGTTATGACCTTCTCTGATAATATGTAGCTGATCCATTGTATTTTTACTGTCTCTTGCCGTCACTTTGTCTAATTTAGGGAAGCAAGAAAACAGAGAAACTTTTCTTCTAGAACAATTACAATGATTAGACAAGCAACCATATCATTTCCTGGCACTAGTTGATACACTGGAAGGATCACTGTTGATTCCTATTCTTGACAAGGAATCTTAGGTAAATGAGTAGTAATATAAAATGAGTAACTGACTATCAATTTATAAGTTTAGATTCTATAATCTGAACAACTACTTCTAAGATAACAATATGTAATATATTAACTAGTGTTGATTTCTTACTAATATTTTTTGAAACCGTATTATTTCTACCCTTTTTTTTTTTTTTTTTTTTTTGTCTTTTTCCTTTTTATCGGTACCGGGGATCGAACTCACGACTGCCTGCTTGCAAGGCAGGCGCTTATGCCGCTGAGCCAAACCTCCAGCCCCACTGCTTTGCTTTTTAAAAATAAAAAAAAAAAAGAGTAGTAAAGTGAAAAAAAAATTAAGGAAAAATGTCCTCACAATAGTTCTGTTTTAATTTCCTAAACACATAGTGAGTGATTCCCATGGGTCAGTTACTGAGAATACAGAAATAAGTACAGGAGGAGAAACTCATACCATGAGGGCCTTCCAGAGCTGTAAGTGCAACAAAGCAAGTACAGGAAAGGTGATTTATGAGGCCAATCTTGAAGAAGAAATAGGATTTGCTCCTGTGATAAAGGAGAAACATGAATTTTGGGGAAAAGGATTCAGTAGGAAGAGTGGAACCGAGGCCGATGGTACAGTACAGATTCTAGAGACAGCAATCACATGCGGTCAGTCAGTGATAACCAGGGAAGCCGACGCGACAATGCTAGGAAAATGAGGAGGCCTATGTTCCAGACTGTGTGGGGCCTACTAAGCAGATCAAGCTTTCTTTTAAAGTAAATGTTGAGCCACTGGAAAATTTTAAGTATTTGCTTATGATTTAGAAGACAGATGTCCCAGCATGTTGGGGGCAGGGTATGTGGATGGAACCTACATGTGCAGAGTAAGGTAAGACCAGAGTAATCCTCAAGGAAGATGATAAAACCCTACTTTGGGCAACTGCAAAGAAATGAAAAGGAAGGGATTTATTTAAGATAAAAAAAAATTAAAAATTAAAAAACAATGTGGTGGAACTGAATAGAGGCCAAGAGAAAGCTGGGACAGTCAGAGGCAACAGCTGAGAGTGATGGCAGTTGGCTGGATTAAAGAGATTGCCAAAGAAAGTGGTCAGCTAGGGACAAATGAGAGGAGAGTTAAGTATTGTAGAGAGCTCTTGTCAAGTTGGGAAACATGCATCTTTCAATTAGCATGCATAGGCATTGTTTCCCCCCAAAAGTCAAACTAACTCAGGTAACAACTACAATGTAAACAAAAATAAACAGAAAAGCTCCCTGAAATCACCAAGGACATCAGCAGAAGGTCTGATAGTTTCCCTGAAATAAAACAGTTCGGAAGATGAAGGAGGAGGAGGAGGAGAAGGAGAGGAAGAAGAGGAAGAGGAATAGGAAGAAGAAAAAGAAGAGGAAGAAGAAGAGGAAGAAGAAGAAGAATGATTATAGAAGTAGTGGAGCAAATTTCCTCCTCTTCTAATAGAATTAAGATAATTTGGACTGACACCTTCAAGGACATAAGTAAAACATGTTTGAAACAGGTATTAAAAAAAAACAAGGAGAACAAAGAGCTACTAAGACAAAATTTAGTAAGTGAAAGTTTCAGAGACTAGAAGTTAGAGACAGAAGCTCAGTTTTAAAAGTTTTTGCCTCAGGCAAATGAACACAAGGAAAAAAGACCTGAGAAATGAGCTTCCTTTCTGTCTGCCCCCTTTTTTTCGCTGGTGGGGAGAGCTGAGATGGGATCTCATTATGTAGTTTAGGCTACTTTATTATTTTTTTTTAGGCTAGTCTTGAACTCACTTGTTAACCCAGGGTAGCTTTGAACTCACAGTGATCCTCTTGCCTCAGCCTCTGGAGTGCTTAGAATATGTGCCTACACCACCAGGCCTGACACTTTGGTTTTCTGGACAGGCTTCAAGGAAAAGTCTCAGTCTGTAGCCCTCTTGCAAGGGCTGTAACTAACAGCTACTAAGTAACTTAATTTTAAGTTGGGATTCTGCAAGGTCATACCTGCCATACCCTCCTTCAGGATACAGTGAGCTGAAATAAATCACTGCTCACATAGATTGCTTCCTGTCACAGCAGGGACCCAGCAGCTTTAAACGTTACACTTTATCTAAGGAGATTCTGGTCCAGCATCGCCCCCAGGTGCTTGGCAGATGCAAACCAAAATTTTCTTTGCAGAAACAACGGCAGTCTCATGAGGTCTCCATTTATACTTAGAGGCTCTTTTAAAAATACACTTTTAACTTAGAGCAAAGAGATCTAAGCTACCAGGAAAACAAAACACCATGAGGGGGAAGTGGTAGGAATTGCAATAATAGAAACAAATCGAATAACGTTTGAGATATTAAAATTAGCAGGCATACTATGAAATCTTTACTATGCTCAAAGAAATAGAGCCAAGCTTGACTATCAAAGTGACACAACAGTAGCAGATAAACGTGCTTTTTCTCCCTGTCAACATAATTCAGCTACACAGTTTAAAATTCTTACATTGTAGGATTTGGTATTTTTTTTCCTTTTACATACTGAAAAAAAAATCCTCCCTGATGAGCCTAATATAATTTTACCTATTTTTAGAATTGGATCACAAGCATATTAGTTAAGTAAAAGGAATGTTCATGTGTGTCTGTGTGCGTACTGTGTACAGGTGCCTGCATTTGTGAACTTCTGGGAAGCACCTGAGAGTTATGCCTAATTCATTCCTAATGTCAACCATTCAGGGCACAGCTGGTGGCAGAATATCACCAGGCATCTGATATGGCCAGGGAAATTTACAAAGGTACCATCTGTTCATATGAAAATGAAAATTAGCTGCAATTTTTACAGCCTAATGGGTTAATTATAAATCTTACTAATAAACTGCCTAAACTCTCTGAGGTTAGGTTTGTATGCTGAAGTGTAAATGTTCTTCATGAATTTAGTACTCTGACTTGAAAGCAGTCTATAGTCCCATTCTTCCTCTCAGAGGTCTGAACTGCTGAAAAAGCAGGTTTCCCCAGGGCAGTGACAGTCCTAAGGGATTTGGAGGGAAGGGGAAGACAGGAGGAAGAGGAGGAGGAGGAGGAGGAGGAAGAAGAGGAGGAGGAAGAAGAGGAGGAGGAGGAGGAGGAGGAGGAGGAGGAGGAGGAGGAGACCAAATCTAAGCTCTGCTAACTTTATATTTTCTTCTTGTCAGATTATTCAGTAGTTGTAAAACCAAGTGATTCTATCAAGATAACACCCATTTTTCATAACAGAAAAGTAACATTTCATATTATTCTTATCAAAGTAGAGTAAGATTCATATTAAATGGTTGATTGTACCTAGGAGAGTCAGTTTAGTTCATTTGAATCTGGTCTACTTGACAAAGCAAAAACTAGTTGCTTACGTTTAACAGCTAACTGTTCAGCTCCACATTCTGGAGGAAGAGCGTCAGCAGCAGATTTATTTTCCCCATATAAAGTAGAATTTCCAATTCACACCATGTACTCAGTAACTATTATGGCCAGTATTTACTCAGAAGGAATGCCGTGCAAGTTTAGAAAAGCTAGCCTCAGGAGCAGAGGGAGAGGCCATTTGACCAAACAAGAAACAAAACCTATACATGGGCAAAACATGCAGAAATGAAGTATGTCATTCTCTCTTTTAATGAAAAAATGTTTCTAAGTCCTAAAAACACTGCTTGGCATGAGCAAGTTGGGCAACCCTTACCCTCCCTGTTCTTTCAAGCTCTGTGTAGTCAATACCTCTATCACTTAGCAAATATCAGCTTTCTTGGAAGAGGGGAACCTGCTTGGAATTAATGAGGTCACACACACACACACACACACACACACACACACACACAGATACACACAGATACACACACACGCACACACACACACAAAACCTATTAATAAACTATTCTCTTTGATGGAAATTGTCCATTTTTCTAAGTTACTTAAAAAAACAGAATGTTTCCTAGTGGCTGTTACGTAGTTTTAGACAGCTCATAAAGACCACCTTTCCCCTGCCTCTTGAAACTTTTTTTTAAATTGGAAAGTGACTTAATGCCACTAAGTCAAGAAGAACTGACCTGCACGTCACAACAGTCCAGTTTCACCCAGTGGCATGATAAACACGGTGACATTGAGTCTGTTTTGGAAAGTAACAACTGATACTGTAATTCAGTAAACTCAGGGAGCTTAAGAGTTAAGAGAAGGACAAACAAAGGTAAGGGCAAAACTGAAGTCACAAACCTGCAAGGTAAGTTTTAAAACAAAGCTACAATAGTCTATTTTGTTGTACTCCCCAAAATGTGCAGTACCAAAGAGCTCACGAAAAGGCAGCTGCACACCCCACAGAATCTTCATGAGCACTTCTTCATTTACACCAATAAAAGAGAAAAATTCCGTATGAACCTTTCCAGAGAAGCGATGCACTTCACAGGCAACCTTTCCACTTACCCTGGAGTATGCACACCATGATCTCTTAGATCCTTTTAATTCCAGGACATCCAGAACATACATGAATTCTTAGCACATTCACTGGAAGAGCAAACTTTCACCGAATTGTTAATTGCCAGCGAGGAGATCATCACAAGGCTCCCTGGAATTCTGGGGCGAGATAGGAGTTTAAAATCCAGCTTCCAGCTCCTGGTGTATACTGTGTCTATCTTTAACTTGAAAATGATTTGGTTTCACATTCCACTGGAGTCCCACTGGCAGATGCCTTTGGTAAGCTCACCAATGGCAGGCCTTCAGCGGGCAACGTCCCCCACCCGCAGACCCAGCTTCCGCCGCTTCATCCCGGGCTGATTTACTCAGCTGTCTTTTTACCTGTCTCTGCCAGGCCCAAAGCAGCCGCCTCCATTGATGGCTATTAGGGAAACGCTTCCAGGCTGAGGATCAGCCGGCACTCACTGCGCTCCCTCTGTCCTCCCCTCCCCCCACTCACTGCCAGAAACCAACTGACTTCCAAACTTGGCTGCCTGAAAAAGAATGTTCTCTGATTGGCATTCCTGGAGCAGAGAGCGGGGAGGCAGCTCAAATTTTCTCCAGCTACTCTGCACCAATCACTTCCCAGGTATAGGCAGTTCCAGCGAGGAACTTTCTTAGACTTAGCTTTGAGGAGAACGGAACAACTTCTTAGGGGCATTGAAAACGTTGTTGTAAGGTAAAATTTATATTTTCATAAGCATATGTAATTTCACCTAGAAATAAAAGAGCACCCCCTTTTTTTTGGTTAGAAGTTGCGTGAGTCTTAGAAAATGGCTTGTGATCCATTAAAGGAGGGGATTTGATAGGGTTGGGGGAGGGGGGCTACTGAATCTGTGGATTTTCTGTAAGATAAAAATTTGCTTATAGGAACTGCGGAAAAATTGATTTTAATAATTATGTAATATATTCCAAACAGCAGGACGAGGGTAGAAGAGATGTTTCTAGCTCTCTGTTGAACTTTCTTTTTATAACTGTTTTACAAACCTTATGAGGGATGGGAAAGCGAGAGAGAGAGAGAGAGAGAGAGAGAGAGAGAGAGAGAGCGCATACACATATTTCTGAAAGAAGGGAAACTGAGTGAATGAAATGAGGAAAAGATACATTTCTTGAAATGCAGAAGGCCCCTTTAAGTCACAATCTATTAACATTTATTTGGTGGTTCCTGGGATCAAAAGATCTGTTACTGAAAGTAACTTATGCTTTATGAGCAACTTGGTGAATTTATTACATGCATTCTGATGGGCCTCACCACTTCTTCAAAGTCCTGCGAAAGCCTTTCTTCTGTTGTGCTTTGACACATCACAGTCCCGCATCCTCAGCTTTGGGCCACTGTCAGCTGGCTGGGCTGGGGTGGTGCTGTGGTTGCTGCTGCTGCTGGGCTCATGGGAACATCTCAAATCTATTTAATGGCACTGGTTGCCTCCACAAAGAAGGCTTTCTGGTTTTGTTTGTTGTTGGTTTACATTTCTTTTTAGATTATCTCTTACCACATTAGAGCAAGATCTTTTTACAAAATCATGAATGAAATACTTGCTTGACAAGTTTGACTATACTACTGTTTTGCTGTTGTGATGTCCCATCAGGCTCCGTGGCCTACCAATTCCTTGTTACTTATTCTGCTGCTAGATGTCCATAAATGATTTTTTACTGGGTAAAGAGGAGGAAGAAGTGTTATTTTTAACCCCAAAGCGAATCACCTTAAGGAAAGTACAGGCCATCAGCAGTGCTGCTGGATGGGGGTCTCTCTCCTTCTCCATACCATTTTTCATAGGTTGAAACAGACATTTCCCACCATTTTCTGTAGGTTAAACAGACACTTTTGCATTTCGGTTTCTCAGTTTCAATGAACACTTCTCCTTTGTGCTAGTGTTTATGTAGGCCATTAATAAATTCATAAACAAAAGGGAAGAACCTTGAAAGTAGCAAGTATCTGTGTTTCTGTTTCTTTTCCCCTTTATCAAGAACTGTCCTTCTGAAGGCCACTGGGTGTCTCAAAGCCCTGGTGACCTAGGGGAGTCAGCAGAGTGGGTGGCAGACCGCTGGGGTCACATGCAGCACACTGGTCATTTCTGTTGTGTTTCTGAACACTAGCACAAAGCTAACACTCAAAAATGTGTGTGGAAACTGAGTACTTGTACTACGAGTATTGTATGTAAACTATGGAACGTGATTATCTATTGACTCACACTTCATTTTATTTTATCTTATTTTAATATTGGGAAATTGAACTCAGGACCTTGAGCTTGCCAGGTAAGTGCCGTGCTACTGAGTTATATTCCTGGCCCTCACGTTTTAGATAAAAACAATTTGCCTTTGTCTTAATGACTTTAGCTCTCTCATTAATGTCTTAATGACTTTACCACTCCCTTTATGCAAAATTAACCAACTGATCAAAAAAAACATATGTATTTAAATATATATGTTGGCAAAGCCACACAAAAATTATATACTGTGTATGTGCATGTGTGTGTGTTCAGGCATAATACTGACCCCAAATAGGACAAATACTTGTTAAATTCACTTAAGGTGATCTCCCTGGCCTGTAAGAAAAATAGAGAAAGGAGAAAGTATTAGCTGTTCTAATATTTCCCCTTAACTTGTAAAGTTAACAGTTTTCTTTATTAGACAGTTACTGGCTGTTTGCCGTACTGCAACGTTCATTAATCAAATATCCCTTTTGATCATGTCCCTATTTCCACATTTTTTTATTTTTTGCCTGGGCATCGAACTCATCACCTTGCATTTGCAAGCAGGCACTTACACCACTAAGCTAAACCTCAGCCCTCCACTTATGTTTTTACCCACGCCAATCCTCAAAACTCCAGAACACTGCAAAACATTATTAGGATCCTTATTAGTCCAGAAATACGGTGGAGTGAGCACAGTGGAAAATTTTTTCTTAGTTTTACCCCCTTAACCTTCACAAGGCAATTGATAAGATTTACGGTGCCTACAACTCAGTCTTTATCCTGAGTAAATATTGTTTTTCTCTTTCGTAAGCACTACATGAGAGTTAGGATTGATCAGAAAAATAGCTTTTAGGGCTTGCCTCCAAAGAAAACCTGGGCATGGAACAAGCAAATCAGATACCCTTAATTTATCATGAACAAGCAGCTAATCTTGGCTCCATTCTTTAAAAACAGACAGGATGGTCACAGTCTTGGGGAGGCTGACTGCTGGTGGTAGCCTCCTTGCAGTGGTGCAGAGAAGGTTTAAATTTAGATCCTAGTTGAATTTTGAGGCATCCATGTGTATAAAAATCCTGGTCCCTCAAAAGCAAATGGCACTTGTCAGTTTTTCCCCTTTCCTTTAAGTGACTAATATAGATAGTATTCTCAATGTGATATTTTTGGAGTTGAGATTTTACCTTTTGCATCTCATTTAATTTTAAAAGCATACGCTGTTTCTTCAAAAACTAAAATTTTAAGAAGGGGCTCATACTTTTGTTCAAAGGGACAAAAACTAATAAATATAAGCAGTAGTTGTTTGAAAAGTAATTAAAATAGTTACTTCCCCAAAAAAGTACAAAAAACAGTTTTGAAAAAAAACAGAGGCTCTACATTAACATATATGAAAGAGATTCAAAACAGCAGGATGTTACATATAATTCTAATAAATGCAAATGAATTTAAAATTCTCAATGCCACCACCAGGTGTATAGCCAAAGGAAAAGAAACCATCACTGAATAAAGATATGTGCAATCCTATTCCCATGTTTATTATAACATTATTGACTATAACCAATATGGGAAAGAGACTAAGTGTTCATCAACAGAAGAATGAAGAAAGAAGTTACAACATGTATACACAGAATGGAATATTATGCCATTGTGAAATAGGAGGGCCTGCCATTTGTGATGACATGGTTGAATCTAGAGGACATTATGTTGAGTGACATAAACCAGAAAGAAAAAATACTACATGGTTTCACTTACATGTATAATCTAAAAAATAAACAAAAATCAAATACAGAGTTAATAAAATGGTGGACACTGGGGAGGGTGAAGAGTGGAGGTGGGAATGTGAAGATGTACGTCAAGAGGTACACGTTATGTAGTATGGATAAATTAGAGCTTTAGCTTGTAGCATGTGCATTGTCTGCTGAAAATCTGCCAAGACAAAAGTTAACTGCCATAGGAGATACGTTAATTTGCTTGACTGTAGTAACCACTTGGCTGTGTATATCAACACGTCTATCAAAATATCATGACATGCATTTTAAATCTATACAATAAAAAAGAAAGCAGAAGAGTTTGCTGTGTAATCTTATTAAACACCAGTCAACTTAAAAAGCGGGTGAAATGGGTATCCATTGTGGGTGCTGATCGTGTGACAACAACCCTATTCTTTGAAAAGGCCATGTGCACAAATAATCCTAATATACCTGGTAGAGAAAAATGGAGAATGAGGATAATTTTGATGATAGTAGAATGTCAACTTAGGTTTAAAATTAATACTTAGGTTTAAAATTGGTGTATCAGTATACATGTGTGACGGCTGATCTTGACTGTCAACTTGCCTGGTTTGAGAGCTGCCTTGGAGATTGGTAAAGTAGACTTCAGGTATGCCTGGGTGGGTCATGCAGGTAGGCTAAGGCTGTATCTGGTCCCTGGCCCCTTCTTAACTGGTGATCTTCCCAGTTTACCAGCCCGCGATTACCAGCCCAGGAAGCAGCCACTTCAACCAGGCAAAGAAAAATAGCTAAAGGGGAGGTTTAGGATATTTGGCTCCAGGGCATCAGGATGAGTGTTTTGTGTTTTCTTCTGATGAAAATTTAGAAATATTTTCACTTTTCATGATCTGGTAGTCAAATTTGTATGCTTTAGACATTTCATAATACTGAAATGGATCTTAAATCTGTAGGCATATTTACTGCAAACATTTTTGATAAACTACTTCTAATTGTTAGGTGGCTGTGTTTGTTAGAATAGTTTTGATAAAAGTTAAAAATCATCCTTACCTTTGTATTAATAAATTTCCTGAACTTTTTTCTTCTACTTGTATTTTACTTTCTGCATCTCTCCATTCCACTGAGGATGGCTATTGCAGCCTCTTGCATTTACTTCTATGAAAGTGACAGGCCACCTTTGTTTGATTGGAACTAAGGGATTTTTGAGTGCTAAAACTATGGAAGTCTAAACAAATCAAAATAAGTTGGTCATCTCATATTTGCAATTTAAAAAGTTATGTGCATTTTAAAATAAAGACTAGCTTTTTTATGAAGGTGCTTGGGCACAATTCTACGAAAATATGAATTTCATTTGTCTTTATCCTTTGTTAGCTATACAACCAGGAAATGCCAGCTTCTAATAAGCACCGTTCCTTCATCCCTA